CCCCCCCCCGCCCTCGGTCAGGGAGGCGGGGCCGGAGGAGCCGCAGCTGCCCGGGACCAGGGCGAGCTGGCACCTCTCCAGGTCCACGTCCTGGTCTATCAGCACCATCTCGCACATCCCCGTGTCGTCGCTGGTCACGTGGGACTGGCGGATGTGGGCCAGGATGATGGCCGGATTGTCCAGGAAGGCCATTCCCTCCGCTTTCAAAGGGAAGCTGGAAGCTGGGGGGGTTTGGTTTGAGTTTATCCTGCAGGCAAACGGATTCTGCTGCTTCCTTCTCAGTTTCTGCCACACATGGTTAAAGCAGAGGCTGAGGACAACTAGAGAGGCACCATCTCCTCCACCCCCCCCCCTATTCCACTGGCTCCAAAGGGTCAGAGAGGCCTGTTTAGAGTGAGAGGAGGAAAACACAAAGGCAATTAGTACCTGTTTCACAAACTAAACTGTCCCATCAGCACCACATAAATAAGTAAAGTTTCAAGGTAAAGTCTAAGAAAACAAAAAATATTGGAGGGCTTTGTTCATAAATAATCACAGAGGGAACTTTTGTGACTCAGAAATTGTTTGAGAAAATAATATTTAAATTAATATTCAACAGTTCTTTCAATACTAGCAAAGCCGTCTTCCTCCACAGTTGATTTTGAACTGTCACCCAAATGACAGCAAACTTCACAGCTCCAGATTAATGATTATGTCTTAGATTAAAAATTTGTTTAATCTTTTTTTAATAAAGTGGATTAGCATGATTCAGGCTATGATCCTTGATAAGGCCCAAGTAAATAGTAGCATGGTCCTAAAATGTGAAGTTTAAAGCAAAACCTGAATCAAACCTCCCTGAAAATGGAGTAAACTATTCTTCTTATTCTATTTCTGTGTTGAAAACAAGAATTCCCCTGAACAGTAAACACAAGCCCTCTTAAAAATCCAACCTTGGCTGTTCATAATATTTACAATGTGAACACAAAGCCGTTGACAGTCACAACAAACAGAGAAAAGCCGTCAACAAGGTCGACACAACCAAAACTTACAGCTTAAAACACTAATTCCACTTTTAAATGGGGAAACAAACGTTAGATTCCGCTACCCGGAAGTCCAGATCGAGTCTGAGAGCGGGGTCAAATGTCAAGTCCTCCGTTGGCCTCTTCCAACCAGCGTCTACGTCTCGTGATGCCTTCACGGACCGTCAAGCTTTATAGTCCTATGTCAAATTTTCGTTTGCACCAGAGAAAAATACTTCCAAACTGCTTCGTTGTAAATTAGTTAGAGGTGTAAGTGTAATTAGACTTTGTGATATTCACAAAAGACCTCGGCTGAATGCTTTTTGAGGATAGTTTGACATTAGTTGACATAGCTGTTGTGACTCCGACCTTAATAACTGGCTAACCGAAAAGTCAGGAGTTTTCCGTCCACCTACTAAATCCCGCAACTAAATTCAGAGGTGACGTTCAGAACTGACACATACAACCTCAATAAGTTGACTATTAACTGCACTTAGTACATCTATGATGTTCAAAAGCTAATCTGAGGCTTTTCTCGGTTAGCTGGTTGTGGCTATCCGCTATCAGAACCAGAAAGCAAAGGTCCAGCCTTCATTATTTACCT